TCCTCCTCCTCCTCCTCCTCCTCCTCTTCCTCCTCCTCCTCCTCCTTCACGTCGCCAAATTCAAGGCCCCGGACGTCCGCTTCGGTGCGGTCCCATCAGGTTCGGCCCGGTTCGGTTCGAAATCGAATCTTGTTCGGTTCGGTTCCGTTCGAAATTAGGTATCGTTCCGTTCCGGTTCGGTTGGGTTATTGTTGACAAAACGTGCGGTTCGTACCGGTTCGGTTCAGACCGATTCCGTTCGGTCGGTTCGGTTCGGTTCTTGAGCTTTCTTGCCGGGGCTCGCGGAGAGGGAAAGGAGGAGGACGAGGAGAAGTAGGAGGAGGAAGAGGAGGAGGAGGAAGTGAGGGGAAGGACGAGGAGGAGGAGGAAGTGAGGGCAAGGACAAGGAGGAGGAGGAGGAGGAGGAGGAGGAGGAGGAGTAGGAGGAGGGAAAGGGTGAGAATGAGCAGGAGAATGAGCAGGAGGAGGACGAGTGGGGAGAGGGAGGAGGGTGAATGGGGAGTGGGGGGAGGAGAAATGGGCGAGGAAGGGAGGGGAGGAGGAGAAAGGGAGGTTGAGCACGAGCGAGAAGAGGCACAGCCTGGGGCTGATCGAGACGTTCGATCCCGGCCTGCCAGACGGAGTACTCTCTACGGAGCGTACAAACAGCCGCCTCCAGCACTTGTGGATGACGCTGCAGAGCCAGTCTGGCGTGACACTAGGACCGATGACTCCGCGCAATGCTGCCAAGGCTTGAGGGTTAAGGGAGGGGGGGCAGCTCCTGGAGGTGTTCCAGGCGGGCCTCGACGAGCCCGCCGGATAGCCCGGGGCGGTACATCGAAACCCCCGCCCTTGGGCTGTTGTGCATCGGGGGCCTCTTGGGGCCACCCTGGGCTTCCTGCGGGGGCTGTCCGTGCGCAACCCCAAGCCTTGACACGCCATGCAGCGGAGGTGAGGGGGAGGAAGGAAGGCGTTGCGGCGGCCAGCTCAGACAGCGAGAGAAGAAGGAGGGAGAAGGAGGAGAGGAGGAGGAGGAGGAGGAGAAGGAGGAGAAGGAGGAGAAGGAGGAGAAGGAGGAGGAGGAGGAGGAGGAAGAGGAGGAGGAGGAGGGAGGAGGAGGAGGAGGACCAGGAGGAGGAGGACCAGAGTAAACCCAAGATGCATCAGCGATGCTGAAATATACCCTCCCGTCCCGAGCCTCCCCTCACGCGCCCCTACAAGCTTTCGTCACTGCAAGAAGCGATCCCGTTTGGCCTGCCATTTTACACAGGGCACACTTTTGAGAAGGAATTGCCTGGCATCTTTCATGCGCGTCATCGATGAACAGAGAGATCTCTGGGAGCAAGGGTGTGGCCTTGGAGGGCGTCTTGGGGCCATCCTGCGAGGGGAGAAAAAGTTAAAGAAGGAGGAGGAGGAGGAGGAGGCAAACAGCCTCTTGGGGCCCGCGTGGGACGCTCTTGGGGCGCTCTTTGGGCCGTATTGGGGCCCTCTTGGGCTGTAAGGCCTCTTGGGGCCATTTTGCAGGGCGTCGATCAATGGAGGTTGGGTCCTAAATGTCCCTCCCCCCCTGTGCCCAACAGCGTCGCTTCTCGGGGTCGTCTGGGGGGCGCCTTTGGCCCCTCTTGGGCCTCTGTTGGGACATCTTGGGCCCATCTTGAGGCTTAAACGCATCGGAAGCGAAAATGCGAGAAGGCACAAGGCGTTGAAGGATTTGTGCCTCTGGGGGGTTCCCGAGGAGGCTCCGAGAGCACTTCGAACCGTCTTGTGGCCCTCGTCGGGTCTGTGAGAGGTATGTCAGAAGCTGGATGGAGCCATCCTCGACAATCTTGGGCCGCCTTTAAGGCCATCTTGGAGCAACGGAGGCCCTCTTGGAGCAGTCTTGGGCGCCCTGACACACCGCGCTCCCACCCGTCCAAAAAAAAGTGAGGAGTAGAGGAAAGACGAACGTGCGCGGCGCTGCAGAAAGAGCCCTAGTTTGAAAACGACCTGTGCTCAATCCTTGAAACCGCTGCACAAGTTTAAGACAACTGTGCGCGGCGCTGTGGCGAGAGCCACATTGTGCAAAGCGACTGGCTCCCATCCTTGAAAGTGTCGTAAAGTGACAAGACGAATGTGCGCGGCGTCAAGGCGAGAGCCACACGTTGAAAACCAAGTGTGCACCATCCTCGAAGCTGCTGCAAATTTTTGAAACGAACGCGCGCGGAGCTAAGGCGAGAGCTGCATTTGGAAGACGAACCGCCTTTCATCTTTGAAAATGCTGCAAACGTTTGAAAAGAATTTGAGTGGCGCTGAAACGAGAGCCACATGTTGCGCAAAGGGATTGGCTTCCATCCTTGAAACTGTTGCAAACTGACAAGACGAATGTGCGCGGCGCCAAGTCGAGAGTCACATTCAAATACGAGCCACCGTCCACCATTGAAACAGTTGCAACTGTTTAAGACGAGTGCGCGCGGCGCAAAAGCGAGAACTACCTTTTGAGAACCACACCGCCTCCATCCATGTAACTTGTGCAGTTTTCAAGTTTCAGGATCAGCAGTGGTGAGAAAGTTTTGGACGAGGCGCCCGTCCCGCCCTGCCGACACGTCTGTAGGGCGCGACAGGGAGGAGTTACTCATGAGGAGAAGTGTGGAAGGAGGAGGAGGAGGAGCAGCAGCACAGAGGAGGAGCAGCATGTGAAAGAGGGGCAGAGGCAAGGGGGCAGCGAAGGACAGCGACGACGACGACGACGACGACGACGGCGACGACGACGACGACGGCGGCGGCGGCGGCGACGACGACGACGAGAGGGAGAGTAGGAGGAGGACGAATGCGAGCAGGAGAAGGAGCACTCGGCGGCGTCCTCGTGCCGCCAGCACAGCCTGGCGCAATCACGACAAGCACGGCTCGCAGCAGCAAGGCGCACCTGTTCGCCGCCATCTTCCCCTGTCCCAAGGGATGGGAGACCCACGCGGGGAATCTCCGCCAAACCCTCGCGAGCCTGCGCCGGCTGGACGCCCACGCCGCTGACTGCAAGGTCATCGAGCGCCACTGCACGGCGCAGTGCGTCCAGGCAACGGCGTGCAAGGTCGCCTAGCGGCCAGTATGCCACCTGGACGCGGGCGGATGGCACCGCAACCTCCGTACCGGCATCCAGCCCTCCAGACCGTCGACGATGGCCCAGACCTCCGTCACGATCGGGCGCAAGCGGCCCGCCACGACGATGGCGGCCCCGGCGCGGCAAGCGCCAGCGGACCACCGCGCCACGCGCGCGCGCCGCGGGGGCCTGAGGCCGCGCGCCGCCGCTGGTGCCCCGCCGCCGCGCAGACCGCCGCGGCGGGCGCCGCGGCGCCGCCTGCCGCCCCACCACCTCGTGCCGCGCCGCGCGGCTGCCCGCGCCTGCGCGGCCGCCCCGAGGCCCCGGCGGAAGAGAACCGATATATGGCCAAGAAAGGAGCGCCCGGAACCACTCCGCGGACGCCGATTTTGAAGTTGCCGCGTCCACCTCGGCGCGGCGGCCTCAAAATACAGCCCCGGGGCGCCGCCGGGGGGCCCCAGCCCCCCCAGGGGTGCCCGCGAGGGGGCGATCTGGGGCCGCCTGGGGGTCCTGTGCCATGTCGGGCCCGATGGGCACGTTAATGGGCTTGGTAACCATGGCCCAGAACCACTCCGCGGACGCCGTCGGAATATATTTTCTGGCCGCCGCGGCTTCAGAATACACTCCGGGAATGCCGCCGGGGGGGGAGGGGTTGGGGCTCCTGGGCGGGCTTGCCGGGAGCGTCCTGGAACCGCCTTGGGGCTTCCTGTGCCGTCTAGGGCCCGCTTGGGCCGCGTCGGGGCGCGGCGGGGCGCTTGCCCCGGCCCCCCCTTTCCCAGGCTGCTGTGGCCCCCTGAGGATGCGCTTTCGGCCTTGAAAGGTTCTCGCTGGGGTGACGCGGGGATCCGCGAGCAAGAAGAGCGGGGCCCCGCCGCGCAGCGCCCCGGCGCCGGCGTGGCCCCAAGTGGAGGACCAGGCGGCGATCGGATCCGCAGGGGTCATTAGGGTTCACAGGTGGTCGCAGATCTGAAGGATCTGGCGGTTCTTGAAGATGTGTTGGGAGCCGCGGCCATTCCAGAGCGTTCCGAAACGCCCTGGGAGCGTTTCGACACTTCCTGGAAGGATTTCTATCACGGTCCTGGGCCCGCCCGACTGGGGGTGCTGGGATCCCGACCTCAAACACGTTGTCAAACACGCGACGGACAGCAAGGGCAAGGCGACGGCGGCCGCCTGCACGTGGCGTGTCGGCGCGGAGCTGGACGTCAGGCACCTCCCCCAATGCCCCAGCGCGGCGCAGGCGGCGCGGGACGTTGCGGCGGGGACAGCCTGGGAGGGCGCGCCACCCGCGGAGCTGGCGCGGCGCTGCGCGCAGGATGCCGACGCCCTGACGGGGGTGACCGCAGCGGCGCGGCTCGCGGCCGGGCCGAAGATGTGACGCGGGCACCCGAGGGCCGAAGGAACCCGATGGGAGGCTTGCACGAGGGAAAGCACGAAGCCTACTCGGGGGGCACACGCGGCCACCCATATCGGCGGCCCCGGACGGGGGGGAGCCCGAGGGTGCGTGCCGAGGGCGCGGCGCGCCAGTGATTGAAGTTTCTTTCACGTCGCTGGCCTCGGCGGCTCTGGTCGGCCGGCCCCTGGGCGCGGGCCCAGGGGCCGGGGGCGCGGTGCGGGTCGCGATCGGGTCGCGGGCGGGTCGCGGGCGCGTCGCAGGCGGGCGGGGCCCGGCGGTCTCTCATGCAAACCCACCCAGCCGTTAAGGACGAGGCTTCGGGAGAAGCGGCGACACGAGACCTCCTCCACACGCCAGGCGGTGGCTGGAAGATCTCACGCGACCGCCTCCCGGAGTGCCCCACCCTCTCTCTATCGTGCCCTCTCGTGATCTGGCTCCCCTCCCTCCCCTCCTTCCTCCCCTCCCACCCATCTCGTCGGTCCAGCGGCGTCCTTCAGGGGACCTAGCAAGAAAGCGCGCCACCGACGGGCGTCCAGCGGCAATGCCGTCAGCCGTTTGCCGTGGCAGGCTTCGGTATTCGCTGAGTCGTTGGCTGACTGTCGGACGGGGATTCTATATGTTTCAAATATGTAGATTCAGTCTGCCTGAAAAAATCGCGCCTGGCGGACCAGCGGAGGCATGCGATCGAAAGGAAGAGAATGAAGAAGAAGAAGAAGAGGAATATGAAGATGAAGAAGAAGGAAGAGGAGAAGGAAGAAGAAGAAGAAGAAGAAGAGGAGGAGGAGGAGGAGGAGGAGGAGGAGCGGCAGCGGGAACAGCACGAAGCCGTTTAGAATCTAGCCGCCCTGATTCGGCCCGAGCCTCGAACCACCCAGGTTGCGGTTCGCCACCCGTCGGGCATTTCGATGCTATGGCCGCAAGATTCAGGTGGTTGGGCCCAGAGGAGTCGCTGCCTTTGAGATGCGGGCGATTCGGGGTTGCAATATCATGGGATGAGGGTGGGGCCTCGTCGATTGACGTTGACCTTCAGGGCGTCATCGTGAACAGCCAGGGCACGATCATCGACGCCGTCTACTTCAACAACATGAAGGCGCTGAAGTGCGTTACGCACTCTGGGGACGAGAGGACGGGAGAAAAGGAAGGGCACGACGAGGTGATCTGGGTCGGGCTGAACAAGCTCCCCGAGCACGTCAAGATGATGTTGTTCGTCGTAGCCGTCCACAGTGGGGGCAGCCTTCGGGACGTGAGGAACGGCGTGATCCACGCTTTGGAAGAGAACAAGGACAACGAGGTGGCCAGGATCGAGATGGAGAGGAGCGGGGCAGAAGTTGACGTGGTGGCCACGCTGGTCCGCTCGACGCAAGACCCGGCTATACGTAAGAGTGACCGCTCGCTGGAATTACCTCTGGTGCGGGCACAGCGGAATTCCCAGATGGTTGAATTCAATGCGATAGCAGCGGCCTGCGAGCTCTGGTTCGGCCTCCCCACGGCATCCGAAAGTCGCGCACCAAAGGTCTTGCCGAGGGTCACTCTTACGTGTAGCCGAAGGACGCGTGGACCTTCAGCGCGGTGCAGGTGCCTGCCCAGCACGGGCAGCACTTCTCGGAGGAGGGCAGCTTCGGGGCACGGGCGATTCTCCCGCCGGGCCCAAATCCGCTCAAATTCGGTCCCGGACCCCTCACAGGGTCCACCCTGACCATGTGTTCGAGGAGAGTGATGTTTTCCCAACCATCCTGTGGTGTTGGGTCCTCGTTTTGAAGAGACGGTCCCCGCGTCCCTCCTCTCTTCTCCTCCCCTTTCCCCTCCCTTCTCCTCCCCCCTCCATGCGTTTCACCCACCCAGTACAACGTTTCGTTGCCCCATAGGGAGCTCCACCTAAGGCCCCAGTGGGGTGTACCACATGCGTCCGCCACACCCAGTACGCCGTTTCGTGGCCCCTTGGGGAGCTCCACCGAAGGCTCCAGTGGGGTGGGTCACATGCGTCCGCCACACCCAAAAAAGCGCTTCGCAACCTCATAGGGAGCTCCACCTCAGGGCCCAGAGGGGGTGGCCACATGCGTCCGCCGCACCCAGTACAGCGCTCCGTGGCCCCGTAGGGAGTTCCACCGAACGCCCCAGTGGGGGTGGCCACATGCGTCCGCCACACCCAGTACAGCGCTTCGTGGCCCCATAGGGAGCTCCACCCAAGGCCCTAGGTGGGGTGGCCACACGCGTCTGCCACACCCAGTACGCCGTTTCGTGGCCCCATGAGGAGTTCCACGTGGCCACATGCGTCCGCCACACCTAGTAAAGTGTTTCGTGGCCACACAGGGAGCTCCACCCAAGGCCCCAGTGGGGGTGGCCACATGCGTCCGCCACACCAAGTACAGCGCTTCGTGGCCCCACAGGAAGTTCCACCAGAGGCACCAGTGGGGGTGACCACATGCGTCCGCCACACCCAGTAGAGCGTTTCGTGGCCCCATAGGGAGCTCCACCGAAGGCCCCAGTAGGGGTGGCCAGATGCGTCCGTCACACCCAGTACAGCGCTTCGTGGCCAGTGGAGCCGTCCGCATGCGTCCCGCACACGCAATTTGACATTTTCAACCACCCAGTACAACCCCATAGTGAGCTCCACCGAAGCCCCCAGTGGGACCGTCCGCATGCGTCCCGCACACGCAATTTGACATTTTCACCCACCCAGTACACCGTTTCGTGGCCCCATAGGGAGCCCCACCGAAGCCCCTAGTGGGACCTCCCGCATGCGTCCCACACACCCAATTTCGCAGCTTCACCCACCCAGTATTGCGTTTCGTGGCCCCATAGGGAGCCCCACCGAAGCCCCTAGTGGGACCGCCCGCATGCGCCCCACACACCCAATTTCGCAGTTTCACCCACCCAGTACAGCGCTTCGTGGTCCCATTAGGAGCTCCACCGAAGCCCCCAGTGGGACCGTCCGCATGCGTCCCACACACCCAATTTGGCAGTTTCACCCACCCAGTACAGCGGTTCGTGGCCCCATAGGGAGCTCCACCGAAGCCCCCAGTGGGACCGTCCGCATGCGTCCCACACACCCAATTTGGCAGTTTCACCCACCCTGTACTGCGCTTCGTGGCCCCATAGGGAGCTCCACCGACGGCCCCAGTGCTACCGCCCGCATGCGTTCCCCCCCACCCAGTGCAGCGCTTCGTGGCCCGTGCATATAGTTGGGTCCTTCGCCTGGATAAGTTCGCCCTCTGGGCCATCACGCGCGTTATGACCCCCCCCTTTCCTCCTCCCCTCCCCCCCTCCCCCCCGCCCCCCCCTCTCCCCCCCCTCCCGTAACGTAACGGTCCGTCTCCCCCAGTGCGCCCCGGGCATTGCCGTGGTACGTGCAGCACCACGGTCTGTCTGTCGTGCCAGACTCACACGGCGGGGGGGCGGCGTTACGTCATGCCCCCTTCCTGCCCCTCCCTCCCCCCCTCCACAACACCCGTTAGGCGAGGCCTCCTAAATGGGGTCGGAGTAGACGGGGTCGGAGGATCGGCGATGCATCGGCGATGCGGTTCGATGTGAAGCCCGATTTTCTCCACGCCGACGGCGCCAATGCATCGCCGGTGCATCACCAATGTATCGCCGATGCATCGCCGATGCATCAGCGATGCGGCGCGATCCTTCGACCCCATCTACTCCGACCCCATCTAGCAGACCTCTAATCGCGCCGGTTATCGCCGCGAGTAACAAATGCTCTCGAGGTGGGTCCAGCCGTGACGACGAGAAGCTTTCGGGAGGCCGATGACGAACGGAAAAGCGCGAGGAAGAGGCGCCGATGTCTCGAGTGGCCCTCCTCCGAACTTCATGGATGTGTTGGAGCCCACGATGGGCAATCTGATCCGGGCCGTCATCCCAGGAGCCCCGAAGCGGCAGAAGGTCGCCTTCGCCATGGAGAAGGGCGACGTCCTGGACCTGCCTGCGACAGGGCAGCTGAGCGGCATCACCGCCGGGCTGGGCTGGGACGTGGAGGGCGAGGGCGTAGACCTGGTGGGGCTCCGGGCCGCGCGCAGACAGACCCCCCAGGCGGCCCCGGTCGGCCTCGACAGGACCGCCGAGCAGCCCAGGGCGAGCTCAACGCCCCGACCCTGTGGCACGGAGCGCCCCCCGGGGCGCCGCCTGCTGTGGCGCGGGGTTGTCGAGGCCAGTTGGCCTCAGCAGAACCGCCTCATATGTTGGTGCGGTTATAGCCCCTTTGAGGGGAAGCGGATTTGCCGCTCAATCGAAATTGTCTGGCCCCTGGACGGGCGTCGGGTGCCGGGTTCGCTGGGGAGGGGAAAACAAAAAAAAAAAAAAAAAAAAAGTCCGGGCCGGTCTCGACACCCTGGCGCCGCAGCAGGCGGCGCCCCGGGGGCGCTTCACGCCTCAGGGTCAGGGCGTGGAGGCCGCCCTGGGCTGCGGCAGGCTCGCGTCACGTCGGCCAGCGGCGACCCCGCTGCCAACCTTCATGGATGGACGTCGCCAGCGGCCCCGAATCGATCTGCGTTGAACGATCCGACATTCTGGAAGCGGCCAGGCGTTCGAGGTCGAGCGATCCCCGCGAGGTCAGGAGTCGGTGCCGAAGTCGGCACGACGCGAACCTATCGTACCTGGCGGGCCTGTTGCGGCCAGCTGGGACTGCCGCGGCTGTCTGTGCGCAACCCGAAGCCTCACCAGCGTAGACCTGGACGTCTCTGCCGTGCTGCTCGACGACCAGGCCCAGACCGTGGAGGCTCGAGGAAGAAGAAACAAATGCATCATGAACATGCAGTCAAGACGCTGAAATAAGAAATCGCTCGGGCTCAGAAGGGGCTCCATGTTCCTTGGGTTCTTCCATGGATGTTCGTCTAGCCCTCCTCGTGCGCGCCAGCGCCTTGGGGGCCAACAATGGGCTTTGTTCCTTAGCGATCCTTCGTTCTTTCAGCAGCCCGGCGGTAAACTTCCGGAGCTCCGCGCGGATTGCTGGGCCCCCTGACGGCGCCTCTGGCGCCGCCTACAACACGCTCTGCGCGCCAGGGAAGGGGGAACCAGCGCCGATCCAAGAAATTTGCGCGGGCCTCCGAAAGTCTATGTTTACAGTTGAGACCCATGCCAAGAACACCCTGCTTGCCTCAAGGGTGCCCTGGATTTCTTGGGTTTTCATGGCCTTGCAATGGAGAGCGTGACGTTCCCACACCAAAAGTCAACGGACGCCCTGGGGTCTCAGGCTTGGGCTTCCTCTGAGAGGGTTCTCGTGGTCGAGCTCATGCTGCAATCAAGGGTGCAATTCAGGGTGAGCCCTTCGCCAGCGTGGCCTTTGGGTGCGCGGCTCTCACGGGGCGCGGGGGGGTGGGGGGGGGGCAAGCCCGAGCACGCAGGCCGTTGCTGTCGCAGCGCTTGCGACGATCGCTTGCGGTGTCTTGGGTCTCGATAGTCGTGCGATGGAGGGCACGACGCTCCCACTCCAAAAAGTCAGCGGACGCCCTAGGGTCTCAGGGCCGGGCCTGTTGTGGAAGGCAGCCTGTGGTCGAGCTCCTGCTATGTGCCGTTGCTTCTTCCTCTGGAGGCGGTCTTCTTCGGCAACCTCACGGGCAGCGGCCTGCGCCACTCGGGGGACAACCTCACGGGCGAGGGCGAGGGCGACGACGAGCAGATCGAGTGCGACCTCGGCGCCGTGCCCGCGAGGGTGTCGCAGATCTTCTTCGTATCGGAGAGGGCAAAGCGGCATGGGCATGAGCTTGCGGAGGTGCACGTGGGCCCCCCTGGCTCAGAGGATGGCGGGCCGAGACAGCGGCAGCTGGCCTGCTTGCGGGGGCTCCCTCGTCGCCACGGCGGGACGCGGCTCGGAAACTTGGTGCGAATGGACCCCAGGGGGGCCTTGGGGACCGATTTTGAGCTGCCGCTGTCTCAACTCACCCTGCTCCGAGCGGCGCCAGGAGGGGTGGCCCAGCGCCGATCCAAGAAGTCCGCGCGGAGCTTAGAAAGCGTATGTTTATGCAGTTCTGCCGTCCTCGATCGTCGTGAACATCTACACCAGGGGCGTGACTTTCCGGAGCGTGAGCAACGCCTACTGCCGCATCTTCGGCGCAGAGGGCTGCGAGATGGCGCGCTTCCAGCTCACGGAGGGCGGCCGCGAGACCGCCCTGATCATGGCCAGGCTCTTCCGGGAGGGCGGCGGGCGTTGGGGGTTCCAGGCCATCGGCACGTTCTCCAGGGGCCATGCCCGCGGCCGGTTGGCCGCCCTGGGGGCCAGGGGCCCAGGTGCAACCATCGAGGAAGGCGAAGAAGAAACAAGTGCATGAACAGAAATTTCCGGAGCCGAGCGGAGTTCGTGGATCGGCGCTGGGCCCCCCTTGCGGCGCCTCTGGCGCCGCCTCTGGCACGCTCCCCGCGCCAGGGAGGGGGATGCCCAGCGCCGATCCCCCGCGGGACTCCGGAAGTCTGTGCGTGCATTGTTTCCGTCCCCTACGGTTAGGAACCTTGGCTTATCTTGTCGCTCCGCTGGTTCTGGCCCACCACGCTTCGGAGCGACACGCCATCGTGGTCGCGGTCCCAGGCGTCCACGTCCCGAGTCTGTCTCAGCCTCCCGCCCCGCGGAGCGGAGCGACATGCTAACGTTATCCACTTACAGCGCATGGCGTGTCGCTGGGGCCACCGCGGCGACGCGCGGAGGCCATCTCTGAAGCGCCGGGGCTTCTCAGAAGCTCTCGCGCCTTTGAGAAGTTTTTGTCGGTGCCTTCGGAGAAGGCTGGGAACTTTTCGGCAGGCCGGAGGCCTTCCGAGCTTCCTGGGAAGGCCCGCCGCCCCCTCTCTTCTTTTCCCCCTAGACTGGCCCTCGATCACCGCGCATCCTCGCTACGGCAGGCTCGCGCGGCGATGACGCGCTGGCGACGCCGGAGCAGGCGTTCAAGGCTGAGCTCTGCGACGCGGCAGCACCGAGGGGCACGGCGACGCCGCCGGGCCCCACGGAATCCGACCGGGCTCGCCGCCAAGACACCCCTGGGGTCCGCCCGCGCGGGGCGCGGGGGCAGTGGCGCTCCGCGGCCAGGGGGCCGCGGGACGGCACCCGCGCTGCGCGGCGCGAGGGCTGCGAGGGGGCCGCGGCGCGCCGTGCTGGGGCCTCCCTGGGAGACCGGCGAGAGCCCGGGGCCCGCCCGCCCGGGCTCCGCGGCGGAGGGGGGGGAGGAGGAGGAGGAGGAGGAGGAGGAGGAGGAGGAGGAGGAGGAGGAGGAGGAGGAGGAGGAGGAGGAGGAGGAGGAGGAGGAGGAGGAGGAGGAGGAGGAGGAGGAGGAGGAGGAGGAGGAGAGGGGGGAGGCTCCTCCTCCTCCCTCCTCCTCCTCCTCCTCCTCCTCATCCTCCTCCTCCTCCTCCTCCTCCTCCTCCTCCCTCCTCCTCCTCCCTCCTCCCTCCTCCTCCTCCTCCTCCTCCTCCTCCTCCTCCGGGGCCGCCGAGTGGCGCAGGCTCCACGCGTGCGTGGCGGGGGCCTGCGCAGGGGCTCCCGCGCGCGGCCTGCGCCGCGTGGAGCCTGCGCGGCCAGCAAGGTGCACTGCGGTTCGGCTCGCTGTGCCGATTCCGGCCCGCCCGGTCGGGTTCGGTTCCGACGTCCTCGCGGTCCAATGCGGCCCGACGTTTGCATGAAGCGCCGTGGTGCGTCCTGGCGCGGCCGCCGTGCCCATGTCGGGCCCGACGTGACTCGCACGCTGCTTCGAGCCGACTTCCCGATTCGATGCGGATTGGTCCTGCCCCGAGGCGAAGAGGCGGCCGCCAGCAGGGCCCCAGACGGCCGAATTGGGTTGCTGTCTGGCCTCTGGAGAGCTCATGCCCCAAGGCCTCTGGCGACTTTGTCTTTCGCGTCGCCGGCCCCCCCCCCCGCGCTCTCGGCCAGCTTCCTATTCCGAGCCGTCCCCTGATTCGGCTACGGTGGGACCGAGGAATGAGGTCGAGGTAGCTTCGGGGAGGGGGTACTCTAACGTTCTTCGTGTCTGTTGGATGTTATTGTGCATCCTGGGTGAGGGTACCCTCGGATGCTCCTCAGTTTGGCCAGCGGCGGCTCTCGTGTTCTTGAAGGATGCTCTTCCGTTCTAGGTCCGACTGCACACGTAATCAAGTCGGCGGTTCAACGATGAGGTCCTGATGGAGGGGGTCCTGCGGACGAGGTGCCTCAAACATTGTAAATCAACAATTGGATCTCTTCCGATCCACGGACCCCATCCCCCAGGACCCCATCTTTGAACCTCAGCCACGCGCAGAGGGGGGTGGGGGGAGGGGGGGGAGGGCTTCTTAGAAGCACCCCTGCTTCTTAGAAGGCGCGGGCCCTATCTATAGATGCAAGGCCGGCGCCTTCTGAGAAGCAGCCTGCTTCTAAGAAGCCCTCCCCCCTCCCCCCACCCCCTTGTGCGCGCCGCCAAGAACCACCGACTAGAGATGCAATTCAGGGTGAGCCTTCGCCAGCGGGGCCTTTGGGTGCGCGGCTCTCACGGGGGCGCGGGGGGGGCGGGGCGGAGCAGGCCCGAGCTCGCAGGCCGCTGCTGGCGCCTCGCCTGCAGGGATCGCATCGCCAGCAGCGATGGGCCACGCGGATCGAGGGTCACTCCTGCAAGCCAGTTAGTCAATGAGGAGAGGAAAAAACACACAGACACAATTAATCGTCGATTCCCAGGAAAGTATGGGAAAATATGGGAAGTGGGGGGGAAGACAGAAACCCAGAAAATATAGGAAAATATGGGGGACATGTTTATTTGTGTGTATTTATTTGTGTGTCCTGAGGCCCCTTCAATCAAGCAGTGGCGAAGCGTCCTGGCTCGCCTATATAGGCCTACCAGAGAATGTTCTGGAAGCCTTGTGTGGTCTGCACGACATGTTCTTAGAACAGTTCTGGCTGAAGCTGTCTCGTTCTACCACATTGGGTCTGGGTTCTAAGAGCATCGTTTTTTGTTCCTGGAACACTCTGGATTTCTAAGGACAGAACGTGGCAGGCCTATAGGAATGCCCAGACGGCCGGTCCCTGCTCAAGATAGGACATCGGCCCGCCAGCAGGTGGCCGCGGAATTTGCCTCATGCGCCGACGGCCCCAGGGACCAACCCACGGAAGCTCCGGGGCACCTCGGGACCACCAAGGATCGACGAGGCAGGTGCACCGAGGGTCCCTGCGGCAAGACCTCTCCTCGTGCCTGCCTGCTGCAGGGCCACCTCTCGCGTGTGGCCGACCCCCGACACCAAGCTAAAACGACGCGAAGATCGGGACAAAATCGGATCGGGATAACTCGAAATCTCTGAGAATCGGCGGGTTTGGAGGATGTATTGGGCGCCGCGGCCGCTCCAGAGCGTTCCGGAACGTTCTGAGAGCGCTCCGGAACGCTCTGGAGCGATTTATCCCGATCCTGGCCCTGTTTCACGAGCAGGGCGAGGCAGACCTAGCAGGGCCGCCTACGATCCGGTTCGATGGAGTTCGATTGGCCGGCCGGGTCCGCGATGCCGATTCGATGCGGTGTTCTCCGGTGCAGCGCTGGCGGCCGGGGCCCGCGGGAGCCGGGCGCGGCGATGCGAGTTCGAGTCGAGGGGGGACGATTCGGTGACGATCCGATCCGTTCCCGATCCCATCCGATCTTGCGATTCGATCCAGCTCGAGCCTGCCCAGCGTTGTGGAAGTCGACGAATGGAGAGGAAGCGTGCTGCCAAATACTTTCCAGTTGTCTACAGGATGTGCCAAATATGTCTTAAACATGTTAAAAACATGTGTCCAACATGTTTTAACATGTTTAAAACATATTTAAAACATAGTTGACATGTTTAAAACGTAGTTCAAACATGTGTTAAATATATGTTAAATGTATTAAAAGCACGTTTAGAACATGTCTTACGCATTTTAAACACATCTTTAATTCTACGATAGGATTGTTAGAGTGTCCATTGTCATGGCACCCACAAGCCCAGCGTGGTGCTGGCCGGGTCGCGCCAGGGCCCCCGACGCCCGCCGATCCGATTCCCGCCCGTCCGTGGCCCCAGAGCTCCCCCAGCCCCTTCCCTGCGGCCAGCCTGGTTTCTCGGGTCCGCTTGCGATGGCCCCTGGGGCCGAGAAAGAAAACTGGGCATCGCTCGGACGTGTGCATCTTTCCTTCGGCGAGGGCCATCGAGGAGCATCCTTGATCATTTGGCGAGAAAAGCCACGCACGAAACCGAAAAAAACAAAGGGAATGGACGTCCGAGCGATGGCGAGAAAACGGGCCTGGAGGGCCGAGGTCGAGGAAAGGACGCCGACATGGAAGCACAAGTCGTCGGAGATGGAATCGTTGTCCTGTTCCTTGTCCTGCCGATCGGCGCGGGCCCTCGCAGCCCTTCCCTCCCTCCCTCCCCCCCGTGGAGTAGGTCTTGGCTGGTCTGGGCGCCTGTTTAAGGCAGGTGGAGCCTCCTCCACGGGACGCACTGCTGCAAACAGTCGCATCAGAATCGGAGTTGGATAGACCACCTACCCTGACACGTCGATTAGTGAATTGGCCGTTTTCGGTTCGCAAGAGGGCGTCACAGCCGTTATTTTGCGGGTCCAGGTCCGTCGGTTTCGGTCCTAGGCCGTTTTCACTAAATGGTGGTTTACTGAAGGGAGGTTTGTCCACCGCCGACATAAGCAGAGGTCCGGAGCCAGACCCCCCCCCCTCCCCCCTCCCCCCCTTCCGCGCCCCATGCCGAAACGCCGAAACAACGAAAACGCCCACGACCAGGGGCCTCCGCCGCTGAGCTTGCTCCTGGACCCCTCCCCCTCCTCGTGTCGGCGGCGAGCGGGCTGGGGGGGAGAGAAGCGAGAGAAGGAGAAGGCCTCCTCGGAAGGCGGCGGGACTTCTCGGAGGCCCTCGCGCGTTTCTCGGAGAGGTTTTTCTTCGGTGCCCCTCCTCCTCGTCCTCCTCGTGAGGAGGAGGAGGAGGAGGAGGAGGAGGAGGAGGAGGAGGAGGGGAAGGAGGAGGAGGAGAAGGGAGGGGGAGGAGGAGGAGGAGGAGGTGGAGGAGGAGGAGGAGGGGACGGCTCGGGCCACTTCTCAGAAGGCTTCCGAACCTCCCGAGGCGGCCGTCGCTTCGCTTCGCTCGCTTCCCCCCCGATCCGCTCGCCGCCGAGCGCGGCCCCCCCGGGGTGGCCGGCACCGCCCGCGGGCCCAGACTTGGAAGGACCAGGAGGGAAAGAAACACACAGACACGATCAAGCTTCGATTGCCTAGGAAATGTGGGAAAATAGGGGAAGTGTGGGGGGGGGGGGGGGGGACAAAATAACCAAGAAAGTATAGGAAAATGTGGGGAATCATTTTATTTGTGTGTATTTTTTCTGTGTGTTTGTGGGCCCCTTCAAAGGACACGGTGCCGGACCTCGTGCGGGAGAGCCAGCGGCCGCCCCGGGAGCTGCAGCTGCGGGCGGCGACGGCGTTGTCGTTCGGCAGCGCGCCGCAGGCTTCGGCAGCCTCCCGGACGGGGTCCGAGCGGGTGGGGCGGGAGGATCGGGCCGCACCGCTGATGCATCGCCGATGCGCCTCGATGCGGAGCTCGATCTTCTCCACGCCGGCGTCGCCGATGCGTCGCCGACGTCGGTGGTGCATCGCCGATGCATCGCCGACGCATCGCCGAAACATCGGCGATGCGGCGCGATCCTCCGACCCCATCTGCTCGGATCCCATCCAAGAGGCCTCTAAGGTCGCCGCCGCGCCGCGGGCGAACTCCGGATGCGGGCCTGGCAAGGGGTGCGCCCTGCAGTGAGAGCGCGTCGCCCGCCGCAGCCACGCACCCAGAGACCAACGGAAGAGCCGCGGCACAATATAGGATGTCAAAAAATAGTCTGGGGACGACTTTTCGACTATTCGTGAGCATTGTCTGACCATTTTGCAGTTTCCTTCCAAAACCTGCCTGTCGGAGGACCTGCCCGACCTGAATATATAGGGCACGGTGGGGGCTGCGGCCGGGAGCGCTTCCTTCGCGTGTCGCGCCGGCGGCTCCGGCGCACCACGCTTCGGGGCGACGCGCGCGAACCACGCCGCGGCCCCCCGGAGTCCACGCCCCGAGCCCGGCCCGGGCCTCCCGCCCTGCGGAGCGGAGCGGCACGCCGGGCAAGAGTTCCCGACCGCAGCGTGGCGGTGCAGCGGGAAGCGCCGTGCCCGCAGCGCGCCTGGTCTTGGGGAGGAGTTGTCGGGGGTGGACAGACCTCCTACCCTGACACGTCGATCAAGGAATTGGCCGTTCTCGGTTCGCGAGAGGGCGTCGCGGCCGTCATTTTTGCGGGTCCAGGTCCGTCGGTTTCGGTCCCAGGCCGTTTTCACTAAGGGGAGGTCTACTGAAGGGAGGTTCGTCCACCGCCGAAGCTGGCGGAAGCAGGACGGCGGCGGGCCCGGCGGCGGAAGAAAGGGCGGAAGAAAGGGCGGGATGGCCTGGAGCCGGCGGGGGTTCGGAGGTGGCCCGGCACCGGTGCTGGCCAGAAGTAAGGGAGGGTGAAAAGCGGTTCGAGGTGGGGGATTCGGAACGTTGTTTGCCTTTTTCTGCCCCAGGGCGCCCTCTTCGGGCCCTGGGACAGTCCAAAACGGATTTGGGATGAAAAACTGCACCAGGTGGACCCCAGGAGAGATCTGGGGACCGATTTTGATGGGAGTTGGCTTCATCACCCCCTCCTGACCACGTTTCTGGGGCTCCAACTAGTCCAGACTCCCAGGCCGCCTCCAAGGTGAGACGTCAACCTTTTGGGGCTCAGGGTTTCCACAATCGACCAGTGAGGTGGGGCATAAGAGGGAGGAGGAGAAGGCAAGCATGGAGACGGAGATGAGCAAGCAAAGGGAACAGAAGGAAGCGGGTAGGGGCAGAGGGAGAGGTTGGGGAATAGTGGAAGGGGAAGGGGAGAAGGA